ATGTGATCAGCACAGGGCCAATCAGCACTGTCTAGACAGAGGTTAAGGGTTCTGCATCCTCCTAGAGCAGAAAGAAAACTTCTCCTACAAGATTAACCAATGCTCTGCTGGACACTGATAGAAGTGACAAGACTGCTATATACTGCTGCTGAGAAAAGGTATTTAGTAGTTAATATTTACTAAAATAATTACTTTTCCAAGTTGTGTGTACTGTATAGTGAATGCAGGGTCCGGGGAGAGCGGATATAGTGAATGCGGGGTCCGGGGAGAGCGGATATAGTGAATGTGGGGTCCGGGGAGAGCGGATATAGTGAATGCGGGGTCCGGGGAGAGCGGATACAGTGAATGCGGGGTCCGGGGAGAGCGGATATAGTGAATGCGGAATCCGGGGAGAGGGGATATAGTGAATGCAGGAGCCGGGGAGAGCGGATATAGTGAATGCAGGAGCCGGGGAGAGCGGATATAGTGAATGCAGGAGCCGGGGAGAGCGGATATAGTGAATGCAGGAGCCGAGGAGAGCGGATATAGTGAATGCGGGGTCCGGGGAGAGCGGATATAGTGAATGCGGGGTCCGGGGAGAGCGGATATAGTGAATGCGGGGTCCGGGGAGAGCGGATATAGTGAATGCGGGGTCCGGGGAGAGCGGATATAGTGAATGCGGGGTCCGGGGAGAGCGGATATAGTGAATGCAGGAGCCAGGGAGACCGGATATAGTGAATGTGGGGTCCGGGGAGAGCAGTTATAGTGAATGCGGGGTCCGGGGAGACCGGATATAGTGAATGTGGGGTCCGGGGAGAGCGGATATAGTGAATGCAGGGTCCGGGGAGAGCGGATATAGTGAATGCAGGGTCCGGGGAGAGCGGATATAGTGAATGCGGGGTCCGGGGAGAGCGGATATAGTGAATGCGGGGTCCGGGGAGAGCGGATATAGTGAATGCAGGGTCCGGGGAGAGCGGATATAGTGAATGCAGGGTCCGGAGAGCAGTTATAGTGAATGCGGGGTCCGGGGAGAGCAGTTATAGTGAATGCGGGGTCCGGGGAGACCGGATATAGTGAATGCAGGGTCCGGGGAGAGCGGGATAGTGAATGCCGGGTCCGGGGAGAGCGGATATAGTGAATGCAGGGTCCGGGGAGAGCGGATATAGTGAATGCGGGGTCCGGGGAGAGCAGATATAGTGAATGCGGGGTCCGGGGAGAGCGGATATAGTGAATGCAGGGTCCGGGTGGAGAGCGGATATAGTGAACGCGGGGTACGGGGAGAGCGGATATAGTGAATGCCGGGTCCGGGGAGAGCGGATATAGTGAATGCAGGGTCCGGGGAGAGCGGATATAGTGAATGCGGGGTCCGGGGAGAGCAGATATAGTGAATGCGGGGTCCGGGGAGAGCGGATATAGTGAATGCAGGGTCCGGGGAGAGCGGATATAGTGAATGCGGGGTACGGGGAGAGCGGATATAGTGAATGCGGGGTCCGGGGAGAGCAGTTATAGTGAATGCGGGGTCCGGGGAGAGCGGATATAGTGAATGCGGGGTCCAGGGAGAGCGGATATAGTGAATGCGGGGTCCGGGGAGAGCGGATATAGTGAATGCGGGGTCCGGGGAGAGCGGATATAGTGAATGCGGGATCCGGGGAGAGCGGATATAGTGATTGCGGGATCCGGGGAGAGCGGATATAGTGAATGCGGGGTCCGGGGAGACCAGATATAGTGAATGCGGGATCCGGGGAGAGGGGATATAGTGAATGCGGGATCCGGGGAGAGGGGATATAGTGAATGCAGGAGCCGGGGAGAGCTGATATAGTGAATGCAGGAGCCGGGGAGAGCGGATATAGTGAATGCAGGAGCCGGGGAGAGCGGATATAGTGAATGCAGGAGCCGAGGAGAGCGGATATAGTGAATGCGGGGTCCGGGGAGAGCGGATATAGTGAATGCGGGGTCCGGGGAGAGCGGATATAGTGAATGCGGGGTCCGGGGAGAGCGGATATAGTGAATGCAGGGTCCAGGGGAGAGCGGATATAGTGAATGCGGGGTCCGGGGAGAGCGGATATAGTGAATGCAGGAGCCAGGGAGACCGGATATAGTGAATGTGGGGTCCGGGGAGAGAGCAGTTATAGTGAATGCGGGGTCCGGGGAGACCGGATATAGTGAATGCAGGGTCCGGGGAGAGCGGATATAGTGAATGCAGGGTCCGGGGAGAGAGCGGATATAGTGAATGCAGGGTCCGGAGAGAGCGGATATAGTGAATGCGGGGTCCGGGGAGAGCGGATATAGTGAATGCAGGGTCCGGGGAGAGCGGATATAGTGAATGCGGGGTCCGGGGAGAGCGGATATAGTGAATGCGGGGTCCGGGGAGAGCGGATATAGTGAATGCGGGGTCCGGGGAGAGCGGATATAGTGAATGCGGGGTCCGGGGAGAGCGGATATAGTGAATGCGGGATCCGGGGAGAGGGGATATAGTGAATGCAGGAGCCGGGGAGAGCGGATATAGTGAATGCAGGAGCCGGGGAGAGCGGATATAGTGAATGCAGGAGCCGGGGAGAGCGGATATAGTGAATGCAGGAGCCGAGGAGAGCGGATATAGTGAATGCGGGGTCCGGGGAGAGCGGATATAGTGAATGCGGGGTCCGGGGAGAGCGGATATAGTGAATGCGGGGTCCGGGGAGAGCGGATATAGTGAATGCGGGGTCCGGGGAGAGAGCGGATATAGTGAATGCAGGAGCCAGGGAGACCGGATATAGTGAATGTGGGGGTCCGGGGAGAGAGCAGTTATAGTGAATGCGGGGTCCGGGGAGACCGGATATAGTGAATGTGGGGTCCGGGGGAGAGCGGATATAGTGAATGCAGGGTCCGGGGAGAGCGGATATAGTGAATGCAGGGTCCGGGGAGAGCGGATATAGTGAATGCGGGGTCCGGGGAGAGCGGATATAGTGAATGCGGGGTCCGGGGAGAGCGGATATAGTGAATGCAGGGTCCGGAGAGCAGTTATAGTGAATGCGGGGTCCGGGGGAGAGCAGTTATAGTGAATGCGGGGTCCGGGGAGACCGGATATAGTGAATGCAGGGTCCGGGGAGAGCGGGATAGTGAATGCCGGGTCCGGGGAGAGCGGATATAGTGAATGCAGGGTCCGGGGAGAGCGGATATAGTGAATGCGGGGTCCGGGGAGAGCAGATATAGTGAATGCGGGGTCCGGGGAGAGCGGATATAGTGAATGCAGGGTCCGGGGAGAGCGGATATAGTGAACGCGGGGTACGGGGAGAGCGGATATAGTGAATGCCGGGTCCGGGGAGAGCGGATATAGTGAATGCAGGGTCCGGGGAGAGCGGATATAGTGAATGCGGGGTCCGGGGAGAGCGGATATAGTGAATGCGGGGTCCGGGGAGAGCGGATATAGTGAATGCAGGGTCCGGGGAGAGCGGATATAGTGAATGCGGGGTACGGGGAGAGCGGATATAGTGAATGCGGGGTCCGGGGAGAGCAGTTATAGTGAATGCGGGGTCCGGGGAGAGCGGATATAGTGAATGCGGGGTCCAGGGAGAGCGGATATAGTGAATGCGGGGTCCGGGGAGAGCGGATATAGTGAATGCGGGATCCGGGGAGAGCGGATATAGTGATTGCGGGATCCGGGGAGAGCGGATATAGTGAATGCGGGGTCCGGGGAGACCAGATATAGTGAATGCGGGATCCGGGGAGAGGGGATATAGTGAATGCGGGATCCGGGGAGAGGGGATATAGTGAATGCGGGATCCGGGGAGAGGGGATATAGTGAATGCAGGAGCCGGGGAGAGCGGATATAGTGAATGCAGGAGCCGGGGAGAGCGGATATAGTGAATGCAGGAGCCGGGGAGAGCGGATATAGTGAATGCAGGAGCCGAGGAGAGCGGATATAGTGAATGCGGGGTCCGGGGAGAGGGGATATAGTGAATGCGGGGTCCGGGGAGAGCGGATATAGTGAATGCGGGGTCCGGGGAGAGCGGATATAGTGAATGCGGGGTCCGGGGAGAGCGGATATAGTGAATGCGGGGTCCGGGGAGAGCGGATATAGTGAATGCAGGAGCCAGGGAGACCGGATATAGTGAATGTGGGGTCCGGGGAGAGCAGTTATAGTGAATGCGGGGTCCGGGGAGACCGGATATAGTGAATGCAGGGTCCGGGGAGAGCGGATATAGTGAATGCAGGGTCCGGGGAGAGCGGATATAGTGAATGCAGGGTCCGGAGAGAGCGGATATAGTGAATGCGGGGTCCGGGGAGAGCGGATATAGTGAATGCAGGGTCCGGGGAGAGCGGATATAGTGAATGCAGGGTCCGGAGAGCGGATATAGTGAATGCGGGGTCCGGGGAGAGCAGTTATAGTGAATGCGGGGTCCGGGGAGACCGGATATAGTGAATGCAGGGTCCGGGGAGAGCGGATATAGTGAATGCCGGGTCCGGGGAGAGCGGATATAGTGAATGCAGGGTCCGGGGAGAGCGGATATAGTGAATGCGGGGTCCGGGGAGAGCAGATATAGTGAATGCGGGGTCCGGGGAGAGCGGATATAGTGAATGCGGGGTCCGGGGGGAGCGGATATAGTGAATGCGGGGTCCGGGGGAGAGCGGATATAGTGAATGCGGGATCCGGGGAGAGCGGATATAGTGTGATTGCGGGATCCGGGGAGAGCGGATATAGTGAATGCGGGGTCCGGGGAGACCAGATATAGTGAATGCGGGGTCCGGGGAGAGCGGTATAGTGAATGCGGGGTCCGGGGAGAGCGGTATAGTGAATGCAGGGTCCGGGGAGACCAGATATAGTGAATGCGGGTCCGGGGAGAGCGGGTATAGTGAATGCGGGGTCCGGGGAGAGCGGTATAGTGAATGCAGGGTGTGGGGTTTAATGGTAAGATTTCCCAACACCACATCCGTTTATGCTCCATACACATGCGTAGCGCCCAAACGTTCTTTTTCTGCCACAATCCCGGGCAGTTTAACAGATTCAACTTATTGAGGTTTGGGGACACCAGATGACCTACCTGTGTTCTCCGGCATGGACGCCTGGTCTGTGTTCCTCTCCTTCTTGAATACGATGTTCCCAAACTGCAGGACGGAAGACACCACTTTCAGCATGGCTGTGGAGAGGGGACGCCGTGCGTTAGCATTAGTGCTGGGTTCCCCGTAAGGAAAGGAGAAGAAGGTGTCTGGGGTACTCACAGAGAATCTCATCGTGAGTGAAGCCCATGATGTGCATGGCCTCCATGGTCTCCTGGAAGTTGTCCTTATCTTGTTGCCCCGGGATGGGCACGTAGCCGTTGGACAAGAAGCGGTAGTTGTTGACGCCTTCCAGCAGAAGATCGGCTGCAGGAGGGAAAAAAAAAAAACTGGCCGTCATATTTACAACAGACATACTGTATAGATCACTTTACTGTACTATACTGTATATAGCATATTTTGGTATTCAGCACTGTGCTACTTTAATTGGCAATTGCGCGGTCATATGATGTCTTCTCAGAACGTGCCCCCCCCCACCCGGGGCTGTCTGTGATCGCTGTGTCCTTTGGAGACACATGATCACACAACTCGGTAAAGGGCCAATCACAGCAGCCTTTTACCACGTGATCAGCTGTGTCCAATCGCAGCAGATCACCATGTAAATACACTTGCCGGTTATCGGCAGTATTTTCCTCACGCTGTCACAGTGCGAGGAAAGTACTGCTGATAACCGGCAACTGTGATAGCAGAAATCTACACTGATAATCAGAGCACTGATTATAAGTGCAGCCCAATAAGTGCCCATCAGTGCCTCCCATTAGTGCCCTTCAGTGCCTCCCATTAGTGCCCTTCAGTGCCTCCCATTAGTGCCCTTCTGTGCTGCCTATCAGTGCCCATCAGTGCCTCCCATTAGTGCCCTTCAGTGCTTCCTATTAGAGCCCTTCAGTGCTTCCTATTAGAGCCCTTCAGTGCTGCCTATCAGTGCCCATCAGTGCCTCCCATTAGTGCCCTTCAGTGCTGCCTATTAGTGCCCTTCTGTGCTGCCTATCAGTGCCCATCAGTGCCTCCCATTAGTGCCCTTCAGTGTTTCCTATTAGAGCCCTTCAGTGCTGCCTATCAGTGCCTCCCATTAGTGCCCTTCAGTGCTTCCTATTAGAGCCCTTCAGTGCTGCCTATCAGTGCCCATCAGTGCCTCCCATTAGTGCCCTTCAGTGCTGCCTATCAGTGCCCATCAGTGCCTCCCATTAGTGCCCTTCAGTGCCTCCCATTAGTGCCCTTCAGTGCTGCCTATCAGTGCCCATCAGTGCCTCCCATTAGTGCCCTTCAGTGCCTCCCATTAGTGCCCTTCAGTGCTGCCTATCAGTGCCCATCAGTGCCTCCCATTAGTGCCCATCAGTGCTTCCCATTAGTGCCCTTCAGTGCCTCCCATTAGTGCCCTTCAGTGCCTCCCATTAGTGCCCTTCAGTGCTGCCTATTAGTGCCCTTCAGTGCTGCCTATCAGTGCCCATCAGTGCTGCCTATCAGTGCAACATCATCAGTGCCTCCCATTAGTGCCCTTCAGTGCTGCCTATTAGTGACATCTATCAATACCCATCATTGCCGCCTATCAGTACCACATATCAGTGCAGCTTCCTCAGTGCCTCCTCACCAATGCCCACCAGTGCTGCCTCATCAACGAACATCAGTGCATGAGAAAAATTACCTGTTTGCAAAATTTCATAATAGAAACAGAGAAAAACTTTTTTTTTTCAAAATTTGTGGTCTTTTTTCATTTATAGTGCAAAAAATAAAACACCCCAGTGGTGTTTAAATACTGCCAAAAAAAATTTTCTATCTGTCTCAAAAAAATAATAAAAATTTCATATGGGTACAGCGTTGCATGACCGCGTAATTGTCATTCAAAACGGGATAGCGAGCGCTGAAAGCTAAAAATTGGCCTGGGCAGGAAGGGGGTATAAGTGCCCGGTAGGCGAGGGGTGAAAGCGGAGATCCAGCCGTTTTTGTGTTTATTAACCTCTTCACGCCGGCCGAACGCAAATGTGTGACCTCCCGGTGTCTGGGCCTAGACGCCGAGCGGCAGCACATTTGCGTTCTATTAAAAAAAGACATATGTGCTGAGAGCGCGTACCCTGCCCGCTCCCAGCACGCATGTCCGGTACTCACGGAAAGGTCCCGATCTCCTCTTTCGATCGGGACCTTGCCCGATCATGTGACCGCCGTGTCACATGACCCTAAACCCCGCACCGCCTCCTGAAACCCTTAAAGGGCCGGGAGGCACCGGCATGAAGGGGTTAAGAGTCAGCAACTACAAAAACTGTATCTGCTGACTTTTAATAAAACACACACACTTACCTGTCCCAGGGTCCAGCCATGTTCTCACCCATGCCGGCATCTCAACTGTGGGCACCAGGCTCTGACATCTTGCGGCTTCCCAGCCTGGTGCCCCCTGCGCATGCGCGAGTCACGTCGAGCTTGCTAATTGGTCCAGCAGTCTCCTAGGACCCTGTGAAAATCCCAGGAGACTGCGGGAGAGAGGAGGTGGCCATGGCGAAGAGCCGGAAGGGGGAGTGGGTACCTGTCAAAGCCAGGTACCCACTCCCCCCTCCCCCCAAAAAGGTGCCAAATATGGCAGTGAAGTGGGGGGGGAAGGAGGCAAATAAGCGGAGCTTCTGCTTTTAAGTGGAACTCCGCTTTAAATCCTGAAAACCTGAATGATTTGCTGAGGGTACCGGAGGCATGAGGCTGGGAGTCATCGCTGTAGTGCAAAGATATATTTGTAGTCTGCTTACATCGGAGGTGTTCCCCGGAGCCGGCGAGCAGCTGGTAGAAGATATGGAAGGTCCTCTCATCCTTGGCCTGCCGTATCGCTCGAGACTTCTCCAGCAGATCTGTCCCGAGGTGTTAAGGTCCAGAAATAAAGTGTGGGACCCTTCCAGGAACCCACAGAGTCCCGAGCAACAGAAAATGGAAAGAATGAAAGAAAACTCAGCAACACGGTCCAACCCTGAAAGCCAACATTTTTTCTAATTTTACTTTTAGATTGTCGTTTTTTCTGCTATTTTCCTTAAAGTGATCCTTATTCTCCAAAAGTAATCCACACGCATCCACTACTTACAGTACTCGGGTCGTGGGTTCGAATCCCAGCCATGGCACCACCTGCCTGGAGTTTGCATGTTCTCTCTGTGCCTGCGTGGGTTTCCCTCCGGGTACTCCGGTTTCCTCCCACACTCCAAAGACATGCTGGTAGGTTAATTGGCTCCTGTCTAAATTGTCCCTAGTATGTGTATGTATGAATGTGAGTTAGGGACCTTAGATTGTACGCCCCTTGAGGGTTAGGGACCTTAGATTGTACGCCCCTTGAGGGTTAGGGACCTTAGATTGTACACCCCTTGAGGGTCAGGGACCTTAGATTGTACGCCCCTTGAGGGTTAGGGACCTTAGATTGTACACCCCTTGAGGGTCAGGGACCTTAGATTGTACGCCCCTTGAGGGTCAGGGACCTTAGATTGTACGCCCCTTGAGGGTCAGGGACCTTAGATTGTACACCCTTGAGGGTTAGGGACCTTAGATTGTACGCCCCTTGAGGGTTAGGGACCTTAGATTGTACGCCCCTTGAGGGTTAGGGCCCTTAGATTGTACACCCCTTGAGGGTCAGGGACTGATGTGAATGTACAATATATATGTAAAGCGCGCGCGTAAATTGACGGCGCTATATAAGTACCTGAAATAAATAAAAATAAAAATACTTACAGGCCCTGTCATATATTTTTCATAAAATAGTTTTAATGCCCTCTGTGAGCTCCTGAACCTCTCCTTTTCCCCCTTCCCTTTGGAACAAGCAGTTCACATTAGTTGGGGTCATGTACACTGCTCTATGCACACTATAAAGTCCATCTCAGGAGTAAGAGAAGGTGGCTATGTTCGTCCATACTGTACAGTGGGATGATGGAGAACGAACGTAGCCACCCTCTACCAGGAAGTCGGATCACAGCAGCAAAAAAATGGGAATTTGGAGGAGGCCGAGAGCAATAGAAGAGACTTTTTTTGAGTTGACAATACACACTGGAATAGAATTGTAACAGTTTAGTGTCACTTTAACCGGTTACAGATCAGTAAGTCGCTGGACTTTCTCCGGCATCTCCCGGTACCGTTTCTCTAGAGCCGGCGGTCGGCTCTCTTTTACAATTCAATCGGAGAGGCTAAAGTCATTCAAGTAGCTGGAGGGGACGTCCCCCCAATCCCGCCGCTTTCTCAGGATCTCCCGTCCCACCTGGAGTCCCGAGCGACCAGCCATGGCGTCCGCCAGCTGGCCCAGACTGCCGAATAAAGCCGGATTCCGCTTTGATCGACTCTCCTTTATTGTAAAATCGGAAGCGATGACCTCACATCGGCGCCAGTTTTAAAAATCTGAAAGCATTCAAAAACATCGATCTCAGTGTTCTGAATGCTTTCAAGTGCAGAGGAGTGATTTGGGGTCTCGTAGACCCCAGATCCCCCCATAAACAAAAATTGGTCACGTGCTGATTGCTGTTGCAGGGGATGTTTACAAAAGTAATACAAAAAAACTTCAAAGTGACTGTAAAAGAAAAAAAAATTGCTGCCATTACTAATATTAAAAGTAAAAAAAAAAAAAAAAAAAATTGAGTATCTATACCGCCATTTGTAGACGATAAAACGTTCACGTAAACCAATATATACGTATTGGGATTTTTTTTTTTTTTTAGCCATGGAGACATGGAGCAGAATACATTTTGGCCTAAATTTATGACGAAATTTGATTTTTAAAATTTTTTTACTGGACATGTTTAATAGCAGAAAAGTCAAAAATATAGTTTTTTTTCTCAAAATTGTAAATTTTTTTTGTTTATAGCACAAAAAATAAAAACCGCACAGGCGATCAAATATCAATGAAAGAAATTTCTAAAGAAAATAATTTGGCTGCAGTGTTGCATGACTGCGCAATTGTTAAATTAACGCAGCGCCGTATCGGGAAAAAAAATGGCCTGGTTAGGAAGGGGGGTAAATCCTCTGGAGGGCAAGTGGTTAAAGCGGAGTTCCACTCACCTGTCAAAAAAAAAAAAAGTCAGCAGCTGCAAAAACTGTAGCTGCTGACTTTTAAAAAAAAACAGCCACTTACCTGTCCCTCGGTCCCGGGGTGTGTACCCCGCAGCCCGTTTCACCGGCCGTCCTGTATTCCAGGAGGCCGGCATCTTCAGTGTGGGCAACCAGCTGTGATAGCTTGCGGCTTCACAGCCAGGTACCCACTGAGCATGGCGAGTAGCGCTGCGCTTCATGAATGGTCCTGTAGTCTTCTGGGACCTGTCAGGTGTCCCAAAAAACTACAGGGAGGGAGGACACCTTCCGTTTCCGATCGCCTAGGCGATCGGACCAGAAGTGGGAGCGGGTACCTGTCAAATGCGGGTACCTGCTTCCCCCCCCCAAGGTGCCATTCCTTAACCACTACCAGTCCGTACACTTTCACCTCCTTCCAGTCCAGGCCAATTTTCAGCTTTCAGTGCTGTCACACTTTGAATGACAATTGCGCGGTCATGCAACACTGTACCCATATGAATTTTTTAGCATTTTTTTGAGACAGATAAAGCTTTATTTTGGTGGTATTTATTCACCGCTGAGATTTTTATTTTTTTTGCTATGTAAATTAAAAAGTCCCAAAATTTTGAAAAAAAAGATTTTTTCTTATAAAATTTTGCAAATAAATAGTATTTCATCATAAATCTTGGCCAACATGTATTCCGTTATCTTTTTAGTAAAAAAAAAAAAGTAACCCAAACTAGTTTATAACCAAAATCTATAATTTTAAAACATTTTTTTACTTTATTATTTATGGGTTTTTGGGGGTTTTTTTTAACATACTGTCACCCTAGCAGTACAGTGTCACCATGGTAACACTATACTACTTGTGGGGGGTGATGAAGATTTTTTTTTTTTTACACTGATTGCTTTTACACCCATAAAGGCTGTAAAAGCAATCATTTCTCCTTCTCTCTGGCTGCATTCTTGCAGCCATTGAGAACTACTGTGTGAGCTGTGATTGGTCACAACTTGTCACATGGTACAAGGCTGTTGTGAATAGCTCTGTACCATGTGACCTCTGTGATCATTCACAGATTTCACAAGTAGTAAGCAATGATGTCAGAAGTGACACCTTGCTTACTACTCTGCATGTGATCACTGATTGGCCAATCAGTGATCACATGATCGGGACCTCGCACAAAGGTCCCATATGACGATCGGTGTTCCACTGTGTCTGGAGGACACAGCGGGCACCGGAATCGCAGTGCTGCGCGCTCCCAGGGAGCACGCACAAGCAGGGTGTGGAAAGGCCGTTTATAAACGTCCACCCGACCCTGCACTGCCACCAACGGCCGGACAGGAAGTGGTTAATGGGGAGCAGTCCTTAAAGCGGAACTTCTCCTTTTGGGTGGAGCTCCGCTTTAAATACTGGACAAACTAGCCATTACTCATCATGAAATTCCAATCCAAAAACGAACGGTTCCCTCATTTTCGCTTAGCAGGACAGTACAGGAACCAATCAGATTGCAGCATATTCCAGCCAAATTCCATAAGGTTCGATTTCAGCACGATCGCTACAAGATAAGTTTTATCAAAAGGCCGAAAGTGTTTAAAACGCGGCCTGGATGGACGGCCCCGGGAAGGGAAGAGGACAAGGTGATGTGTTTTTAATTAAGTGAGGCTGGATTTCATCTTACACTTGGCGCGGGTCGGAATCCCAGGAATGAGATTTAATTTCCCTGCTCTGGAGGTTTTGCTGAGAAATGCCCAGGCTGGGGTGAGATCCCCTCTCGAGTCCCTATCAATAACAGCCCGTGGCACGGCATCCAACCATGGGAAGTAACACGAGATTCCTGACTCGCCATCCTGGGGGGGAGGATCCGCTCTATCGCCACAGTTTTCTACGCAGGCTTTTCCTACCAATCGGATAGCTCATACCCTCCCGGCCCTCCGCACTGCTCTACCTTCGGACTGCTCTCATTCAGGCAGGGATTGTATCTGGGTGCAGCAGAAATTTCCTTGCATAGTAAAGCACATCTCCAGTTATAGATTTTATCCTGTTTTCATTGGATACCTTATTTTATACATTATCACTGGGTCTATGTGCTTTTCTATGCAATCATGGCTGGTGGGAGGGGCCGGCAGGGTGCTGTACAAAGCTTCCTGAAAAAATCACGGCCCCTATCTGACCTGCTGCAGCTTCTGATGTACACTGTGAGAAGCTCACAGTGTTCAGTGAAATCAAAGTAATTTCAGTGCAGGGGAGGACTGCAAACCTGTACAAGACTGAAGGTCAGATTTTAATAAATTGCAGCTCTGACAGAAATACTCACCTTGTCTCCAGCACTTTTCCCACATTTGTAGCCACAGAGCTGAAACTGACAATTCTCAATTCACTAAAAACATCTCCCCAATATAACCCTTTGCAGCTGCAGTGGCTATGTAAAGCCCACCTTTATTTCCAGTCTGAACAGTTTCAATCATCAATAATCCCCTCTCCTTCAGATTTATACTGTTATTGGCTCACCTTTCGCAGCTATTAGCTTTCTCAGCCATCAATTACTTTGATTCTGATCATGATATAAAAGAACACATCCGTGGCATCCCTTTAAACATGCATGAAACTGTCCTAAAAAGATTGACAAAGAATGGGCTAACTGGGTTGATGCAGAGGGCTTGACTATTTGAAGCTGTTCCACATTTCCTCTACATTACTGGGTGGTCCTTTGGATGGGACAGCACCTACCTTCCCCCCTCAACCCCCGTTTACCCCACCCTCCCTCCTCCAAATGTATGATCCATTGTTTTCTATGTTACTGTACAGACGGTTTGTAATTATGTTATACTAAAAGAATTCCTCCTCTAGATTCTAGTGGCAATGTCTTTGTGACTTGTAGACAGTCTGCAATGTGTTCTATTGTGTTTTCACTTTGTGCTTCTGCACCTTTTGTATATCTCTTAATAAACATTTTCTACTGAAACAAACAAACAAGTATGCTTAAGCAGATTGAACAGGAGGAGTAGGCATGTCTAAAGGGATGCCAAGAATGTGTTCTCTTGTGTTTTGAATTCTTGCTTCTGCACCTTTTATATATCTCTTAATAAACACATTTTCTACTGAAAAAACAAACAAAAAAGTATGCTCAAGCAACAGATCAGCAGATTGCACAGGTGGAGTAGGCATGTCTAAAGGGATGCCAAGAATGTGTTCTATTGTGTTTTGAATTCTTGCTTCTGCACCTTTAATATATCTCTTAATAAACATTTTCAACTGAAAAAAACATGCATGCTCAAGCAACTGATCAGCAGACTGCAGAGCTACAGTTTGCAGCACCCAGTAGGAAGCAGGGAGGAACATGCATGTCTAAAGCGATGCCAAGGATGTGTTCTCTTGAGTTTTGACTTCATGATTCTGCACATTTTATATATCTCTTAATAAATATTTTCCACTGAAAAAAAAAAAAATTTGCAAGCTCATGTGACTGATCAGCATATTGCATAGCAAAAGTTTACAGCACATAGTGGGAGGGAGGATCATGCATGTCTAAAGGGATGCCAAGGATGCGTTCTTTCATATAATGCTCTTGAAAGGAGATCTGACATAGGATGCTCTGGCGGCCAGCAGACAGACACGGCAATTATGACACGGAGTCTTAAAACAAGTACTTACCGAAAGCAAAATTATTAGATTGAAAAATTGTAACTGCATGTTGGTTGGGTTGGGAGACAAGGTTTTATATGTATACAATACACATCAGCTTTAAGAGGGGAGGGCAGAGTGGCAGATGACCTCTCTGATGGCATGCTTTCCCATCTACTAATCGCAGGCTGGGGGCGGGGAGGTGACCAGGCTATACTGCTTAACTGCAGTGAGGAAAAGTCAGGTCACCAGCCAGGCTACTGCCCATGAACTGTCGGGGGTTAACGCGTCGCAATCTTAACCCCGTAAAGGGTAAGTACATCTATAATCAGTTGTCACACTTGTGCTGATAGGAGGTTTGCAACACGGCGTTTTCTCGCCAAAAATAAAGACGCGGTACATGTGACCACAAAGCACAACGCAAGCGTGAAGGCGCCGGTATCTGATCCACATAATGACGGCATTTCTGCTGGCTGCTGCTCTGAAAAGCTCCTAAAACAGTGACGTGCGAGCGGAGGGATTGCGATCAATAAACTGATGGCTATACATTGACGCCCCCCCCCCCCCCATACAGGACCCAACTTTACAAAGGGCTCACAAGATTGGGCTGCGTAGGAGAAGAAAACGTTTTTTTTGTTTTTCCTCTGCACAGGCTTTGGCAGGCGCGTGTTTAACAAAGGCTGGGAGAAGGGGAAGCCAGAGTTTATCCAATAGCTAAAAACTGCCTGCGCTCCCCACTGCTATTTCCTGCATTCCACGGGCTGAGCCGCGGACCAGCAACTGAAATAAAAGGATACAGGTCTCGATGTTGGCCCCCACAATGTAACCCGTCACATCGAAGTTGATACGGATGAACTTTCCCTAAAAAAAAAAAAGGGGGGAGAGAAAAGGTTAATTATGAGAAACTGTGTTTCAGGAAAAAAATTTAACTGGTATGAGCAGCACCGAGTCACCCGCCCAGATCTAACATTTCTTGTAAACTCCCAATAGAGAAATGTCTCTGCAGTAGTTTGTGTCTCTGCCCCTCCCACAATGGGGAGATTTCCCTTCAGTAGTCAGTAGTTTGTGTCTCTGCCCCTCCCACAATGGGGAGATTTCCCTTCAGTAGTCAGTAGTTTGTGTCTCTGCCCCTCCCACAATGGGGAGATTTCCCTCCAGTAGTTTGTGTCTCTGCCCCTCCACAATGGGAAGATTTCCCTGCAGTAGTCTGTGTCTCTGCCCCTCCCACAATGGGGAGATTTCCCTGCAATAGTTTGTGTCTCTGCCCCTCCCACAATGGAGATTTCCTGCAGTAGTTTGTGTGTCTGCCCCTCCCACAATGGGGAGATTTCCCTTCAGTAGTTTGTGTCTCTGCCCCTCCCACAATGGGGAGATTTCCCTTCAGTAGTTTGTGTCTCTGCCCCTCCCACAATGGGGAGATTTCCCTCCAGTAGTTTGTGTCTCTGCCCCTCCCACAATGGGGAGATTTCCCTCCAGTAGTTTGTGTCTCTGCCCCTCCCACAATGGGGAGATTTCCCTCCAGTAGTTTGTGTCTCTGCCCCTCCCACAATGGGGAGATTTCCCTGCAATAGTTTGTGTCTCTGCCCCTCCCACAATGGGGAGATTTCCCTGCAGTAGTTTGTGTCTCTGCCCCTCCCACAATGGGGAGATTTCCCTCCAGTAGTTTGTGTCTCTGCCCCTCCCACAATGGGGAGATTTCCCTGCAGTAGTTTGTGTCTCTGCCCCTCCCACAATGGGGAGATTTCCCTGCAGTAGTTTGTGTCTCTGCCCCTCCCACAATGGGGAGATTTCCCTCCAGTAGTTTGTGTCTCTGCCCCTCCCACAATGGAGAGATTTCCCCCAGTAGTTTGTGTCTCTGCCCCTCCCACAATGGAGAGATTTCCCTCCAGTAGTTTGTGTCTCTGCCCCTCCCACAATGGAGAGATTTCCCTCCAGTAGTTTGTGTCTCTGCCCCTCCCACAATGGGGAGATTTCCCTCCAGTAGTTTGTGTCTCTGCCCCTCCCACAATGGGAAGATTTCCCTCCAGTAGTTTGTGTCTCTGCCCCTCCCACAATGGGGAGATTTCCCTCCAGTAGTTTGTGTCTCTGCCCCTCCCACAATGGGAAGATTTCCCTCCAGTAGTTTGTGTCTCTGCCCCTCCCACAATGGGCAGATTTCCTGCAGTAGTTTGTGTCTCTGCCCCTCCCACAATGGGCAGATTTCCTGCAGTAGTTTGTGTCTCTGCCCCTCCCACAATGGGAAGGTTTCCCTGCAATAGTTTGTGTCTCTGCCCCTCCCACAATGGGGAGATTTCCTCCATAGTAACCTATCCACCTTTAGCTGGACATACACCAAGCACTGGATTGGGCGGGGAAGGGATACTTCCACTGTAGAGTAGTACTGCTCCCGGTAAGAAGCTTTAACCTTCACTTCCTGTTGTGTCACCAGAACAGGAAATCAGGTGAAATTGCTGTAATGGTGACCCCGCCAGTAGCAGTGGTGATCCAAGTTTTGGTGACCGCCTACTTTAACAGTTCCTCCGCCCGTTACTAACCAGAGTTAAATACGGATGATGATACTTCATGACTAAGAAGGGATACAGGGTCACCAGACGGGAGGACGTCTCCATTCATTGCTGGATGGGCCCCTGCATAGCACATTAGTCAGGGATTTATTTTCAGGCGTTTCTCTGCATGGAATGAATTCAGGGTACACATAAGGAAGTATTAGAGGAGATGACACCGAGACGGGACACAAATCCGCGCTCGCCGCGCTGATGTCACAGCTGTGGCACACACACACTAAGCTCCTATTTCAGGCAGAACCGGCTTCTGTCTAATCAGGTGCTTTCAGGACAAGGAGGCGCGTACGGCCGCCGTGGGGAAGGGGGGGGGATTACCTGGAAGGAACTGGACACCTGCTGTGTATTATTATACTGCAGCCAGGCCTGTGCCGGCCCGGGACGGAACGATGGGACAGGCTGGGGACCAAACCTGCCCTTAGCTGGGATTCGTGCAGCACAAATCCCCGGAGATCGAGGCAATAAATGACTGCACCTAGTGCCAAAACCTGCTTCAGGAAAGTAGAGGTGTGTTGTAGGAGTTCGGGACCCCCTGTATGGACAAGGATAGGTGTTTCTAGAGGTAGGTGGACAGGGCTATTCCTAAAGAGTCTGGTAAAGTGGCGCAATAATTGGTTAAGTACAGTAAGGGTATATTTGGGACAATATACAACGCGTTTCGGGGGTTCACAAATGCATGCTGAAAATCAATCTGTACTGGACTTGTATCAAAGGATAGGGTGCGTTTTGCAGCAGTGGTAAGTCAAACCAACAGCATTTTATGGTCAACGAAATGTTGACTATAACATGCTGTAGCTTTGACTTCTCTTCTGCAAAACCCATCCTATCCTTTGACCTCACATAAGCTCAACGTTCCGGTGCCTTGGCTCAACTGTTCCATGGGATGAACAGGGTGCTGGCCTAAGCGTGCTGATCCAGGAAGCCCTATAATCAACAGTAGATGAATGCCGCACACCAACTGACTCCAAGCATGTGAAAAGCGGAGAGTGACCTTAGTCCCAGCTCCTTCTGATAGCCATGCCCTACGCGTTTCGTCCACCCCCCAGGACTTCATCATAGAGGTAAGCCGCGGGAATAGGGCGAAAAGTGCCAGCGGGCGTGGCCATTGGGAGGAGCTGTGACTGAGGTCGCTCTCAACTTTTCAAATGAGTTGTTTGGTGTGCAGCGCTCACCTACTGTCCACTCTATCCTTTGAAACAAGTCTGGTAGATTTAATTTAATATTTTCAGTATACAAGGAGGATTTGTGAAGGTTCTACAGAATACTGGGGTGCCGTGACGAGGCTCTGTGGCTTACGCATGTGTTTGCATATGTGTGCTAACTAAACCCGTTTTTGACGCATACTGTTAGACAGGTTAAAGTGGAGCTCCACCCAAAAGGGGAAGTTCCACTTTAAGCCGTTGTCCCCCGTTCTCCATTAATGATTGGCACCTTTTGGCAGCGGCAAGGCATCCCGAGATGACATCTTCACGCAATCTAACGAGAATGAAAAGAAGCTGAAGAACCTGGAAGCCAAATTCTTCAGCTTTAGGAGGTAACGTGTATTACAGTGTGCAGTTGGCTTAAAGCGGAGCTCCACCCAAAAGGGGAAGTTCCGCTTTAAGCCTTTATCCCCCGCCCCCTATTACGGATTGGCACCTTGGGGAGCGGGTACCTGAATTTGACAGGTTCCCACTTCCGCTGTGATCGCCTAGGCAACCGGAAGAGGAATTTGTCCTTCCTCCCCATAGTCTTCTGGGACATGTGACAGGGCGCAGAAGACTACGGGGTCATTCACAAAGCGCAGCGCTTCTCACGCATGCGCAGTCGGCTGTGAAGCCACAAACTGTCACAGCCGGGTGACCACACTGAAGATGCCAGCGCCTGGAATACATGACGGCCGGTGAAACAGGCTGTGGGGAGGACACCGCGGGATTGTGGGACAGGTAAGTGGCTGTTTTTTTAAAAAAGTCAGCAGCTGCAGTTTTTGGAGCTGTTGACTTATTTTTTGACAGTGTGAGTGGACCTCTACTTTAATTCGGTTTATTTGCAGGCCGGCTGGCAAGTTAGAGCCGGGAATTTTTCTTTTTTGTTATCTGACATGCGTCGTCCTTCCATGTGCTCCTTGCTGTGAAGGCCAGTTATAGACTGGGGAAGTGGCCATTTTTTGTACTGTTGAATTGTAGGATTTGTGAACCTCCAAAAAGGCACTGAAATTTCATTTTTACATCATATGTAATAAATATACCCTTACTGGACTGAACTAGTGTGGTGCTCTCATTCTTCTATTAGCCTGTCAAAACCTGCTGGTTCATTTGATGACTGTGAGACAATTACCAGTGACCTCAATACAAGGAATGAGGTTATAACAAACCTGGAAACCCATAACCAATCACAGACTAAAGAAACCAACAGGTGTGTCAGATGCAGGACTGTCGCAGAAAGACCACCAGTATACTTAATGAACTGGGTATACCCACCCATTCGCTGGTCCTTGTTAGCTGACTGGAGAGACTACCTGGATTTACAATAACTGACCTGAATCTACCAGCAGCTGTTGATAGTAGATTTTTAAAAAAATCTTCCAATTCAGACAAAAAGCATAGCAGAAGCAAATGTTCATTCTCCTTGAGGACACTGAGTGAAACTTGGCAGAATTGGTGTGGGAGGGGTTAGCATTCCTAGGGGGTTGGCCTAGTTTACATTTCTCCTGTAGACGGTAGTATAACCCTAGGTTGCTTGGTACCAAGTTGAGTCCCTCAATGATGATAATTAAGATGGCGCCTTCATCTGGAGTCTCACCCTAGGTGACTCATTAGGAGAAAAGTATCTTTTAATGTAAACAACCCCCATAAAAGGGAATGAGTCTTTTTGGGGAAAATGATTGGAAGATATCAACACGGATGGAAGAACACGCAGAAACCCAGTGGACTTTTCACCAATCAATGTATATGCTTTGCCTGCATCATAAGCCCTATAAATGATACTGTTAGTTCCTCAATAAAACAGAATTTTAGGAAGTTGACAAACTGCAACAGTGTCAGTGTCTTTCTTCCACGTATTCTATATTAATTTAGCTCACTGGTAGATCACGGTAAATGGTCTGTAAGTGACCGACCGAGTCCAAAACAGATGGACAATAGAAAAATCTAAATGGCCCATGCAGTAGGTCTGAAGCAGAGATTCTCAGCTCTGTTCCTCAAGTATCCCAAAAAGGAACAGTAAAATTCCTTCTTTTTGTGTGTCTCTCTCATTGGGGAGATTTCTGTTCATGTTCTACCCTGAGGTCAAAGCAGGAAGTGAGAAAAAATCCCTCAGACAACTGTCACTGAAAAAAGTGATCCCACTGGGTATGTTCGGGTGACATTTTGGATTTTACATCGCTTTCAGAACATATAGTGAGGGTGAATGTCCCCGCTGGAGACACATACAGCAAATAAAACCTGACAGATTCAAAATTTTACCCATTTCATTCTATTCTACAAGAAAAAAAAAGTTCTGGTTCTAAAGAGGATTCCAAGTTTCTTTAGGGCAGCAATAGAACCTTAGGCCTCTTCCAGTGGCTAGGGGTTTCTTTTTTCTGTGGCTGATTGACCTCCTATCTGATGGTTCAAGGTCCAACTCCACTTGGCAGAGCCAATGGCATGACACCAATGACCCTTTTAGCTGTCTATAAGGGTGACATTTGGGCCGCCCCTCAACTGTGCTACGCGGCGGAACGCATCGACACCTTCTACATGAAAATCCTTATGCAATGAACGGCGTCTCCACACTCACAAAGCGGGAAGAGTTGTCGTTCTTCACAGTTTTGGCATTTCCAAAAGATTCCAGGATGGGGTTCGCTTGAAGCAGCTGACGTTCCAACTCGCCCTGCGGAATAAAAATAACTATTAATCAGTGAGTAGGACAGGAATTCCGAGAAAATTCTAAGAAATTATTTGTGTATGCTGCAGGGAAAGGTCAGCCAGGAACTGGAGGTCTTCACAGACCATCAATATGACACCACTGCCTATTCAATCATCTGAATGACATCCACGCTAACATTCACCCAACTGGCCGCTAAGGACAACCCTATGTTTTGTGCCCACTTACCTTTACAACACAATAAAGGTAAACTCAATACGTTTTTTGTCAAGGGCAATCCCACCAAGAATGAAATATAATATGTGGGCAATATCCCACTCTGTCATACCCTTCATGAAAGTAGGAACTCTAAAAAACTGATAAAAAAAATAATGAAGGCATCACAAAACTTTGAAAGAAAAGTGTAAAAAATACTTACTATAGGTGAAGGTGACATCATTGGACCTTTTCATGGAATCCTGGGAAAGCAGAGGTTACCAAACCTCTTGTGAATAAAGGTGTTGGATCCTCTCCTTGCAAGATCTGAGGTCCTTAGCATTCCCGTCCCCGCGGTAAGGCCCATTGAGGTCACCCTTGCTTAGTGCCTACATCAATCATTCAGTAGATGTGGTGTAAAGTTTATTTGGGGTTTTTTTTACATTTTTTCTTTAGAGCTAGAGACAGACCTCTGCACTGCTATGACAATACAATTGGAGACGCCATTCATTTTAAATGGCACCTCAACCTGAAAAACTAAGGTTACAGCACAGGGCCAGATCTAGCCTATCTAGCCTATCTGATCTGGGGGTGCAGTAATAAAAAGTCAGGGGGCGTAATGTCAACACTGTGCGAGAGTCATTGACAGTCTGTCACACTGTGTCACGACCTGGCAAACACTATTATGTATTAGGTTGTCATTAGATTAGAGTGATTAAACAGAACTTGTGCCCCCTTATATCAGATGTCCCTTGTAAGAGTCCCCCCTTTACATTAGGTTCCCATCAAAGTGTCCCTTTAAATCAGGTGACCCAATCAGATTGCCCCCTTACATTAGCTTCCCTAATAGAGTACCCTTTACATATAATCAGTTATCCCTGTCAGAGTGCCCCCTTACATCGGGTATCCCCATCAGAGTGCCCCCTTACATCGGGTATACCCATCAGTGTGCCCCCTTACATTGGGTGTCCCCATCAGAGTGCCCCCTTACATTGGGTGTCCCCATCAGCGTGCCCCCTTACATTGGGTGTCCCCAACAGAGTGCCCCCTTACATCGGGTGTCTCCATCATAGTACCACCTTACATTAGTGTCCCCATCAGAGTACCACCTTACATTACTGTCCCCATCAAGAGTGCCCCCTTTACATATGATCAGGTATCCCTGTTTGTTAGAGTGACCCTTACATCAGGCGTCCCCATCTGAGTGCCCCCTTACATCGGGCGTCCCCATCAGAGTGCCCCCTTACATCAGGCGTCCCCATCAGAGTGCCCCTTTACATCGGGTGTTTCCTTTCAGAGTGCCCCCTTACATCGGGTGTCCCCATCAGTGTGCCCCTTTACATCGGGTGTCCCCATCAGTGTGCGCCCTTACATCGGGTGTCCCCATCAGTGTGCGCCCTTACATCGGGTGTCCCCATCAGTGTGCGCCCTTACATCGGGTGTCCCCATCAGTGTGCGCCCTTACATCGGGTGTCCCCATCAGTGTGCGCCCTTACATCGGGTGTCCCCATCAGTGTGCGCCCTTACATCGGGTGTCCCCATCAGAGCGCCCCCCTTACATCGGGTGTCCCCTTACATCGGGTGTCCCCCATCAGAGTGACCCTTACATCGGGTGTCCCCATCAGAGTGCCCCTTTACATCGGGGTTCCCCATCAGAGTGCCCCCTCATATTAACTGTTTGCATCAGATCGGCTCAGGGATTGGTGGATGCACTCTCAGAGACCTAGGGGGGCACAACTAAAATCTGGGGGGCACAGCACCTCCCAAGATCTGACTCTGTTACTGCTTAAATTTTCCTGCACTGCCAGCCCATTCATAATGAACAGACTGTAAACACTCTGTACAGAGATATGCAAATTAATGCAAACAGGGCAATGAACCGGACAGGCGTGGGGGTCAAAACGTTCATTTCTTTTGCCCTTTGCTAGGCATGTTTAACAGGGGGTAGGGAGTCCCAGATAAAAGGACCTTTCACTTTTATGCATTGTCCCCATTACACTACATCGCTGTCTGTTCCGGTTCTAATTAATCCTGGTCAAGGTGCAATTAGCAATACTTGTGTACAATTAGAGTTGTCCAATATTGAAGACCATCATTCCTGAAAAAGGCGCTTGGATAAGCAGCAAAATGTCTCCAACATACAGAACAAATCTAGATAGGGCTGTGTTCTTACTTGCCTCAACCATTGCGAAAGGGGTTCGGATGCCCCCTGCTGCCTTTTGTAAAAAATGTAATATACAAAGAATGCAGCAAGAGAAGTGAGAATCCATAATTAGAGAGGAAAAAATAAATAAAATCAGGAAATGTGCCAAGTCTCCCCATTACTACTGATTCTGATACAGGAAGCCAAAAGCCGGCCATACAGGGATCGAAATTCAGCCAGTTCAGCAGGGACCCGGATCCATCTATGTCTGCCCACATTTGAGAGTCGTTGATCTGTGACTGACTCCAACTGACTGGGAATATTGGAAATTTTGTACTTTATCAGCTCACGCAGCCAATCAGTTGCAGCGCCAATCACTTGCAGCGTCAATCAGCTGCAGCGCCAATTACTTGCAGCGCCAATCACTTGCAGCGCCTATCAGTGCATTCTGGTAGTGGAGAAGTCCCGCTGTCGGTACAATAGTGCAACGAGGAGGATTCCCCCATCCACCTTGAATGTATGGATGGGGCATTTTTTTTTGTGATCAGCTGGCTAGAAAAAAGAAAAAAAAAAAATGGCCAGCTTGGTCAGTTTAGGCCTCTCTCCCTCCACAGCATGGCAATCAAAAGCTGAGATAAAGGCTAGCGAATCAGCAACACAGGAAACGTCATCTTTCCTGGAAGGCAATCTCCTATTCACTGCTGAACAAAGAGTGGCACGTTTATGCAAATACTTCCATTTAACAATAAATAACTCCTTTGTACCCCCCCTTCCCCCATGTCAGACCACCTTTGCCTCAGGAATACAGCCTTTGTATGAGACAAGGGGGTGGCAGGTGAGCAGCAGGAATTAGGAGTCCTTTTCTGGCTTCCCACACATCCTTATGGAACAACCCCGCAGGACGGCATGAAAAAGCCAATCACCGCGTGCTTCCCGAGCAATAAATATCTCAGAAGCAAAGTAATAAGGACTTGTTAACACAATTCCTTGTGGGAACATAAACCGTCAGGTGTGGGAGGACTGGCGCCTGTTTTATTCCATCAAACAGCAAGCCTGTGTGACCCTGACCAACCAGAACCGAAATCATAGTCGTCATTAAAGGGTCCACTGGGTCCTCTTCCATGGCAAACCACTAGGAGTGAAGGCAAGGACGGGGATCATCCCAGCTCCCGATATCAAGTGAAGAGGATAAACGTTCTATAAGCTGCTCATCTCTGCAAAACCCTGTAAACAGGTGTATTACGTATCTCCAACCAGGCCACGCCCTCCAATGAGTTTCGTTCCGCCCCCTGAGCGAAATGCGTTGGAGGGTTTGGCCTCGTTGGAGCCAGGCTGAGGCCGCCATACACCTATCTACAGGGTTTTGCAGAGATGTGTGGCTTTAATGACTTTTTTCCTTTCCACCTGACCGACCAAAACCTACCAGACCATTCTGATTGGTTGGCTTCCACGTCATTACCTGGTGTATTGGCCTCTTAAAGATTCTGCTTTAAAACTGAACTCCTGGCATGAACTTTATTGCATACTTACATTGGTCGAGCTTGACACAAAATAAAGTGTACATACCTCATACCTGAGGAACCTCTGTGGAAGTGGACAATTACTAATACCTAGCACTAATATAGTCAATGCCGTGATCTTTGGGGTCCTGTGGGAGTCGCTCACTCTGCGTTTAAAGTACCATTCAGCTTCAGTATGTGAATGTTGAACACAAATCCTAATGGGAGTGCTGATTGCCACTTTAAGCAAGCAGCTAGCAGGCTTACAAGAAGCTTCAAGAAGTGCTAGCTGCTTGTTTAAAGTGGCAATCAGCACTTCCATTAGGATCTGTGTTCAACATTTACAAACTGGAGCTGAAGAGTGTTTTAAAACCGATTCAGCATACAATGTAGCAATGAAGTTTTATTCCAGATTCAGCATACAAAGTGTACGGTTTAATTCCAGATTTAATATACAATGTAACAATGAAGTTTTATTCCAGATTAAGCATACAATGTAGTAATGAAGTTTTGTTAAGGATTCAACATACAATGTACAACATTAAGCAAGCTGCTAGCAGGCTTTCAACAAGCTTCAAGAAGTTCTGAAGCTTGCTAGCCGCATGTTTAAAGTGGCAATCAGCACTCCCATTAGGATTTGTATTCAACATTTACAAACTGGAGCTGAAGAATAATTTAAAAAGCTTTAACTAAGCTTGCTGAAAACTCTGCAAATGTTTTGACAAAGCTAACTGTACACACGGCTCTTACACAAACTGAAGCCTGTGTGAAACGGGCCTACCACCATTCACAAAACACCTTGTATTCTTTTTTCAATGACTGGACGAGGTGGAGAGGAGGACACTAAAACTGATCTCCACCTTGTCCAATTAGAGAATGCCTTTCAGTCATTGAAAGGAATACCAGGTGTTCTGTGAATGGTGGGGGTGCCGAGCAAGCGTCCCTCCTGTGGTCAGTTTACAAAGAGGGAAGCCACTCACTGAAAACCTATTCGATCATGAGTATCACTGTATGTAGCGTCAACTACTACAGTGATTTTCAGCATCCCCAGTGACTCTCTGAATATCAGATATGGATACTTACATCAAGCTGGACCGATGTATGTATTAAAAAAAAGATGGGCAGGGTTATATAGATACACCACGGGGAAGGTCCCAGCAAAGCTTTTC